AGTGGTATTTCAAGCTTGGTAGTCACTGCTGACCCTGTCTCTTATACACATCTAGATGTGTATAAGAGACAGCATTCCAACAGTCCAAAAAAAAAAAAAAAAAAAAAAGGATTGACAGGATTCTAGGTCGATTACAGCCCACCTCCCCCACATGCATACTAAAACCTTTCACAATTTGATTGTTTTCATAACTGACAGGGTTCACACTGTTAACTACATTACAATCGATAGTTAGTACAGATTACAGGCTTACTAACCTTTCACGAGCTTATTGTTCTCGTACCTGACATGGTTCACATCAAACTGTATAATTGAATTTTAATGTACTTACAGGGACGCTGGACCCGCTTTCCAGCAGGTGTTGCTGCCCACCAATAGATGGAGCCATCCCGACACTGCTAGTGGTGCCTGATCATATCAGCACCCCTAGCAGCTACTCGGGCTGTTCTTTGAAGAAAAAAAAAAGATCAAAGCTTCGCTTTCCCTTTCATGATCCAGTATCCCTAACCCCCCTTTGGTCCTTGGCTTCGTGAGCACATCCCAGGCCACCCGCTGCATACACCCCAGGGTTTTGACGTTGTTTTTTCAGAGGTACGTCGTAAGTGTTTTCCTCATTTTGGCGTACTGTTGCAAGTTCAATTGTCAGACCACCAATGTGTACCAGATGGCTGCTAGAATAGCATTGTTGATTGCTAAGGTCAGTCCCACCAGTGAGGTGTGCAACCTATCCCGTTTAGGGAGCCGGCCTACTGCCATGTTCACCAGCATGTCTCCATGATATGGAGGGGGCCCTACTGCAGTCAACATCACCCCAAGAATTCTGATGGCTTTTTCCTTCCATGTCCACGCTACAGCTGGCTCTTGTGGTGGAGGGTCTCCTTGAGGGTGGAGCCATCAGCCCTGCGTCTTGGCGCCCCAATTGAATTCCATACCTACCGTCAATGAGAAGAGGTATATAACATGTGTGATGACATGTATTCTGTCCTCATCTGCACGGATGAGAACAGTCAGGCCATCTGTGAACAATGACGTCACCAGAATGAGGTGGTGTGTGGCGTTTGGGATGGGCACTTTGTTGATCATGGGGTGGGATCTGATAAGCGACATAAGGGTCTCCATTACATTAGCAAATAACAAGGGCGCGATAGGATCGCCCTGACATACTAACCTTTGGAGATATATCG